AAGGAAGGAAGGAAGGAAGGAAGGAAGGAAGGAAGGAAGGAAGGAAGGAAGGAAGGAAGGGAAAGAAAGTTACTTGTAGATGTAAGGCTAAAGGAGGGCTCCGAGGGAGTATGGTATATAAATGGGTATATGCTCCCACACTGTGAATAAAGTATTATTATTTAAAAAATGGGGAGAGAATGAAGAGAGCATATGCAAAATTATTTTTTAATGTTTTCTGTAATCACATTAATGGCAATATTAGTATTATTATTTGGGACTGTGGAGCAATGTAGTATGAGATGGGATAAAGCCAATGAGCACTTATCACATACACTAATGTTATCATGTTTCATCCCCTATGTCCTTAAAACTCAGGATCAGTGTGCCTGGCTGGTGTGGCTCAGTGGTTCAGCATCGACCCAAGAACCAAGAGGTCACCAGCTGGGTTCCGGTCAGGGCACGCGCCTGGGTTTCGGGCTCGATCACCAGGGGGGGCGTGCAGGAAGCAGTCGATCGATGATGTTTCTCTCTCATCGATGTTTCTATCCCTATCTCTCTCCCTCTCTAAAAACCAATTAAAAAACCAATTAAAAAAAATCAGGATCAGTGTGGAAGGGAATCAGATGTAATGGAGAAGAGGTTTAGTAAGATGTGAACTGGAAGTAGTAATGAGAACTCATGAAGTTATTAAACCTGTGTGTATCTTAGCTCTGTCCAGTTAAAGGGCTAGAAAACATGGCCAGCCTGGTAGCAATGAGCATTCTAGCCCAAATTGAGCTTGATTTATAATTCCCCCTAAAGGAAACCAGGACTTCTTAGAGGAACGGCCGATTCCACGTACAAGAAAGATCAACTTGTTATACCAGATAACAAAGAAGTTATCAAAGATCGTGGTGGTATGTAAAAAGGACTTAAAAATCAACTAGAAGAGGCTCCCACTGGCCAAACATGGGGCAATTTAAGTTCCAACGGTGATAATAATTACTATGTATGAAACGTTTAAATTCACAGTTCATAATGATTTTTTTTTTTGAAAGGGAAGATGTGTTCATCTTTGGAGAAAGAAACAAATCCAACATCTTGTAAACTGGTCAGTAAAGGGAAGGGATCAAGCATTTATTCTGCCTTCCTATATGAACTGTACCTCCAGGTACACAGAAAAGGCACAGGGTCTTTATATTATAAAAGCACAGTGCCAGTAAATGAAAAGGAAAGGTCAGCATTAAAATAACACTAATTGCAACCCACAATGACTTAATAGATACAAGCATTAAGCGTCAGTGGCGTTCACATTACGGAAAGAGAGATAACCAAACTTTATGTGCCTCCTAATGCAAGAACATACCACTGTCTATATACAGTCTCGCCAAAGGACTGAACATCAGCCTGTTAAAGCCTCTGAATCTTGCTGCCAAACTACAGGGGATACGGAGAACAGAGGAGTATGTGGAGATGCACATGACTATGTCATCAACAAAACCGACTGTGGGAAGTTCTGCAGGCCAGATAGCCTCATCTCTTCAACACTAAAGTACAAGGAAAACAATGGGATGGAGGGGAGATCTATATAAAAAAGAGCCATCAACTTTAGTGAGCAAGACTAAAATGTAGTGCCAAAGGGTACGCATCTAAGTGAGAGAACTATTGAGACATGCGAGAAAGTGATTACTATAAAAATCACGAAAATGGTTATTTATCGGGGGGAGAGAGAATTGTGATCGTGGGAGGGACACAAGGAAGGGCTTCTGGGGTTCTACTTCTTGATCTGGTGATGGTTACAAGAGTGTTTGCCTTAAAGAATTCGTCAGTCATACATTTGCTTTCTGGTTATTTTCTGTATCTGTATTTTATTTTACAAAAAAATTAAAACAAAATATGACATTTGAAACAACTATAAATTTTAATACTTACTAGATATTTGATATTAAGGAATTAGTGTTCATTTTCTTAGGTGTAATAATGATATTGCAGATTTTTTAAAAGGTGTCTTTTTAGATATAAATACTGAAATATTTATGATGAAAATGATAGGATGTCTGGTATTTGCTTTAAAATAATATAGGAGGGGGTATATATAAAATATGCGTAACTCCGGACCCTACTGCAGTTCTTGTCCAGATGAGTGGCAGACCATCTACCTAAGCACCAAGCCAGCAACACCCAGTTCACCCTATGCCTTCTAACCCCCTTCTACCCAACTAACCTAATTCTATCAAATCTAAGCTAAGCCCAGTCTTGTCCTAAACAGCTCCTAAATTTTACCTCTTCTCTCATTCCCACTGACCTGGTGTGGCCCTTACAGCTCTGTCAGACTGTAACTAGGACCTTATAACCGTTCTTTGTGCTATCTAGAGGCATCCCAGTCCTTCCTAGATACGGCCATTAGGGTGCTCTTCCCACACACCCAGTCACGTCCCTGTTCTGCTTGAGCCTGGTGGTGGTGGTGGTAAACAGTAAATACTTACTGAATTCTAAGTATGTTCCAGTCACTGTCCTAAGTAATTTCATTTTTGGAAGGAACCCACCAATCCCATTTGCCGTATATGTTTCCACACAAAGCCCACTCTATGCTGATTTTACCCTTAGTGTGGTGCATGGAGATACAAACGGCTAGTCACACGTAAGCTTATATTGTTAGTACAACCTAGGTGACAAAAGTAAATAAGAGTTGCCAAAAACGGGAGCACAGGAGTTATTTTGAAAGAAGTATGTTGTGTATGGGGTTTTATATTTATGCTAAGAACTGGAGAACGGCCTAAAGTAAATAAAGTTCTCAACTCAGTGTTTATATACTTTTTAAGAACCAGGGAAAAGCAGGGTATTGTTTTTCATGTAATTATAGTCTTTTTTTAAAAGGGAGCAATAAAATAATCAGAGAGTGGTTTGGGGTAACCGCTTGACTAATCTGCCCTCTATAGTCACACATGGATAATAATATTTAAAGAAAAAACTAAACAGTCCTTAAATAAGAACAACTAGACTTCAAATGCTGAAGAACATACTCCTGAAACATAAATACAAGACTACATATAGACGTTTTATAAGATTAGTTCAGTACATGAATTAATAAACTTGAGGAGAACTGCGGTTAAATATCAAAACTGGTAAACTATTAGTTACATATTTTGAGCAGTTTACTTCCTTTAACTCTGACCCACAATCCTCTTCTATCAGATGGGGATACAAATATCGGTCTCACAAGGATATTGCGAGGATTAAATGATTCAGCGCGCATACAGCACTTGGTACACTTTAGGTGATTTTCCTCTACGTGAGCTCCAGAATGTTCATAACCAATACAAAGCTGAAGGATACTACTCAACACTGGCTGAATCAAGAAATTAAGCTTGTTCTTTGGAAAGGCTGGTAGAGCACTGTGCCAAAAAACCCAACCAATGTCTCCATTAAAATTCAGTAGTAGTTAGAATAGCCAATACCTGTGGTACACGGATAGGAGATTTGGACCTGTGAGACCGATATTTGTATCCCCAAGTCACTGCCCCTAACTGATTTCCCTACTTCTGTTCTTGTCTCCTTAGAATCCATTTTCCCCTCAGCGGCCAGTGTAAACTAGATCACGTCATTTCCCTTCTTAAAACCCTCCCTAAAATAAAAACCAAATTCCTTACTGTGGCCTGTAAGGCCTTTCACATCTGACCCGCCTACCTCTCCACCCTTATGTCCTACCCCTCTGCCCTTCCTATCTCCGGGCCCCTGTGCTTCCCCAGTACATCAACCTGGTTCCTCGTTTAGGAGCTTTAAAACTGCCATTCATTCCCTCTGCCCAGAATCCCTGGCTCCCCCACACAACCAGGCTATTTACATGCTTGACTTCTTTGCATTCAGATGTTATCTCCTTAGAGAGGCCTTCTCTAAGGTAGCCACCATCCTGCCAATGACCCACAAACCACCCTTCTTTTCTTCTGCATGCCACCTAGCCCAGGCTAAAATGATCTTACTTGTTTACCGACCACCCTGTGTCAGCTCTTTAAGAGCAGAGGTTTTTCTCTCCTTTATTCTTCTCGCCAATGCCTAGAACACAGCAACCCTAAACAGAGCTTCAAAAAATCTGTTGAAGGAACAACTTCACAGACATCATCGAAGCTGTACAGATATTAACTATACAGACTTTGATGATTATTAATAGCTTACTATAGTTTAAATTACATTAGTTTATTAAGAATAAAAATTTTAACTCAATTCCAACGGAAAAGAAGATATTAAGGACCTTCCTCCCCCAGTAGAAGTCCCAGAGTGAAAGCAGACCTATTTGGAAAAGAGATGCGTTTAGATGATGCCATCAGATTCTGTCCCAAGGTAAAAAGAGAAAGTGAACAAACATCTTCCAGGATCAAAACTCCAGGCAAGACCAGAAAGAGGGTTTTCACAGCTCCTTCTGCAAACTCTCTGAAAAGAAGGCCAGTGGATCAGGATGCAGGGGAAAAACTCATGAGAATCTCTCAATGGATCCTTCACCCACCAAACAAGGTTTCTTCAGAAACGGCCTCGCTTCTGCACACGACCTTAACGGAGGAAAACAAACCTAAAGTTGTTCTATCAAGTAGCAAATGAGAATAAAAAGCGTGTCTGTATCTACATATATTGCTGTATAAATCCCTGAGGAAAACCAATATCAATATTGACATATCATATCAAATCAACAAGTGAGACACTGAAGAGATAAGATTAGTCCCTGGTGGAGAGATGGCCTTTTTAACCTGAACACTTGGGAGAAGGGAACAAAGACTTCTCGTTGCATTATAGAAAAATACAATAAATTTGGAGGAAAATAAACATTTGTAAGAACAACAACAAAAACCCCCACATGTAGTAATGTTCATGGTTTGATTGGGGAGGGGTGGACTCATTACAGAAAAATTATATTAAAAAATAAAAAAAGAAAAGAATAAAAAGCATAACTCCCCCCCAAAAAAGCCACTGAACCCAGAAGCAGAAAGAGAAAGCTGAATTGATGGTTACACCCACAAATTTAATCTAGTACTTCTAATGTGATCTTTAGAATTATTTTTCTCATGAAGGAGAAAGTAAAGAGAATCTTATTGTTTATACTGTTTGCAGTACATAGGTGCCACCGATCATAACTAATGACTAGTTCTATTTTAAGGCCTTAAACATGGCTAAATACATCAGTAAGAACTTACACAGCTACCTTTCCTAGGATAAACACAAAGACCAGCATGAGTTGAAAAGAGGAATTTCCATTAGAGAGAAAAGAACATTTTGCCATATATTTCTATATGGTACAGCAGTGCCTTAGCCATGATTTTGTGTTCAAAACACTTAAGAATCAAGAAGCAAGCAACAAAGGCCACCAAGGAACTAAGGCAGAGAGGAGTCAATGCAAGAAAACACACTTTTAAAAATATACAGCCCCAAGGTCCCCACTCAGAGCCTATTCACTTTTATTCCTGATTGAATTCTAACCCAGTTGGCTATCTAGTTTCTTAGTGCCCAGCAAGTCAGAGATAGCAAACTAGGAAATGGAAAAGACAGAAAACTATTATATTGAGAGAAGATGACCTACCAGGAGAAAGGAGACTGAAATACCACTGAAAAGGGGAATTAAAAATCTTAGAATCAAAAATAAAATTTAAAAAGCATAACTGGCAAAGTTTTATTTAAAATAGTAAACAACCTTACAGAATTCAACTGCCTCTAAGACTATGCATCTTATTTTAACAGTGCAACACTAATATTGTACCTTGTATAGTGACTTGCATGGAATATGGAACTTAAGTTCAAATAATGACCATAAAGTGATACTTTTTCATCCTGGAGTTTCTCACTTGGTAGGCAGGCATCTATATTTTTTCAACAAACCACAGGTGATTCTGACGCACACCAAGAATTGAGAACCAACCACTGTCCTAACAGTTTCTAAGGAGAGGTTACATTATACTCAATATATTATTTAAGAAAGAAGTGAGAATTTACCACGATCAATAAAACCTGTTTTTAAAACATTTGGGCATGTTGAGGTCACGTGGAGTGTTCACTTTGGTAGAAAACTGCATTTCCCAAAAGGAGGGAGGGAGCTGAATGACACATCACCAATAGCCAATCTATTCACAGAATAATTTCTTTCGAAACCATACAAATGTCAAAAATTTATGTAATGATAAGTGAAGTAGAATACTCAATGTGGTATGAAATAATAATAGAAACTCAATCAAGTTAAAGTTATGTGAATAAAAAATCTCACTAACTTAAACTAGAGCCTGGGTACCAAACCTCTATTTGCAGTAGCATCTCCCGAACAAAATACACTCATACTCACCTTTCTGAAAAATCAGAGTCTATAAATTCTCTAGCCCGTTTTCTATCACTAAAAAGAAAAAAAAAAGGCATAAAAAGAACACATATAAACACTACTTTATTTCATGAATAATTTATTGTAACTTGTCTAATTCCACGATAAATATAGCCAAACACAAAAACTAACAAATATAAAAGATTTGCCCATAAAATAAAAACTTAAACTTTATGAAAGGGCCAAGAAATCACAACGTGACAACCTAGTTTGAAATGAGTTCAATGAATCTTTAAGGAGGAAAACACTGCAGGTTTACAAAGGAAAGGCACAGAAAAGTTTCATTTACTCTGGAATGACTGACTATAAAAAGTGACAATCATACCACCTCCAACATAAAGCACAGCTGGGGCTGAAAATGTCCAAACCCTGGTCATCTCCAAACCGCTGGCATAGGCATGGCTTTCATGGTATAATCTCTCAGGGCTGTGCAGGAATCCAAGGCAACTTTTACATCTACCTGAGAATGTTCATAAGGACTGAATAAAGGCCATGGAATTACAGGTGACTGTCATTTCATCTCATTTGATAATGGGAAAGTATGAATATAAATGAAACTCTTCTGTCTCTAATGTATATGTGTGTGTGTGTGCAGGCATATAAAAATGTATATGGCTTAAAACATTTTGCCAGGATTATTGTTTCATTAATGTATGTTTTTTCCATTGATTTTTAGAGAGAGTGTGGAAGGGAGGGAGGGGGAGAGAGAGAGAAATATCGATGTGAGAGAGACACATCGACTGGTTGCCTTGACCAGGAATCAAACCCTTGACCATTCAGTGCGCGGGCCGAGGCTCTAACCACTGTGCAACACCAACCAGGACTATTTAATATTCTTGAAGCAAGGAGATTCTTACTCAACCAAGATTTACTGTCTGCTTGACAGAACCCACAGCTTTAAGTCAAAGATAGAACTACCAGTGCAGTATTTAAATAACAATTTAAATAACTTCTAAAGTGACAGGATAAAGTTTTGAGTCATTAACTTTACTATTTCCTTTTCTTTTATGAAAAGATGAGATGTTAAAATAATAAGCAGTGAAGAAAGGTTGGATAAGGGTATTTTACAGACAAAGATGAAGCATGTGAAGGTTTGATACTAAAAGAGGCAACTGAGTAACATAGAAGAAATAATGATTTAATTAATTGCCCAGTGTTTTGAAAGAATCAAGGGGAAACACAATGAAAACTTGAATATATTTGGCCTCTTCTTCCTAGTTCCTTTTCTGATTTTTAAGGAAACAAGAATTCATAGAGGGAAATTCTGAGTATAGCCAACACTTAATATATCTTTTCTTATGTTTGGTAAAACAATATATAGTTTTGACATTTCCAAAGCACCTAACTGCCATAATCATAAAAAGAAGTTCTCTTTCAGAGTTGAAAAAAGTCAGAAGATTCAGGTACAAGTTATTATTATAATGTTTTTCTCTGTTTTAAAATGCTTGCTCCACAAATGGTTTATATCTAGGATATGAGGTGAAATAAAATGTAATTTTAAAGGAAACACATTCGTTTTTAAGAACTTGACTAACATAAAACAAGAACAGAGGACAAGATGGTGAGAAAAAAGGTGAGAACTTTTAAAAAGTAGTTTTAAAAATGTTAACTTTAAGGACACTCTTACCCGGGGAGCCAGCCGGTGGCGTCGGCGAGGTGCGTCTGGGTGACCATGGCCGGCGCGGGGCTGTACGGGGCCCCGATCAGGACGCTTCCCGAGCTGCTCAGTCTCTGCGGTGTGCTTATAATCTGCAAGGCAGGGCAAAGGAAACAACATCCTGAGTTACTGAGAAAAGCCGACAGGCGCAAAATAATGTCCACTGCTAACCTTACAAGGAGGAAATTTGATTGTCTAAAATGCACTTCATATTAATTATCGAAAACATAAGCAATAGCTTTAACTCATTTATATCCTAGGATCTTATGCTGACACGAGGTCATAACACAGGTTTCAGCAAGTGAAGGGCAATTTGGAAGGATTAGCTGGCAACCGACAGTGTTTTAAAAACCAGAAAAACAAAAAGCTTTCTTTGAAATTACAAAACCTAATTCCAGTCAAGCTTGATTTACTAGAACTAGGGTTAACAGTAAATTGAATCTCTGCAGCCCAAAATATAGGCAAAGACATTACACAATTTGGATTCTTATACAGATGCAATTTTATCTTCTTTTTTTTAAGAGCATTTCCTCATGTCATTAAATATTCTTCAAAGACTTATTAAAGACAGTAAAACATTCCATCACGTAAACTTCTTATCCCCTATTAGATATACGGATATTCGATTATTTAGTACTATAAACAATGCTGTGATAAGCATTTTTGTGCAATGATCTTGGCCTTAATTTCTATTTCCTAAGGACAGACTTCAGGAAAGGAATTAATGGAACTAAAAATATGGACTTTTCAAAAAAATTTATTGATTGACTGATTTTAGAGAGAGGAAGGGAGAGAGAGAGAAAGGTCAATTTTTTTATTCCACTTATTTATACATTAATTAGCTGATTTTTATATGTGCCCTGACCAGGGATCAAACCTGAAACCTTGGTGTATCGGGATAACGCTCTAACCAACTGAGCTACCCGGCCAGGGTCAGGATACGGACTTTTAAAAGAAGTTCCCTGGTATGTGTTACCAAATTGCCTTCCAGGTCTTATAATTTTCATTGGTAAATAGAACATGCCCCCCCCCCCAATGTTTATAGTAATTAATACAAAAACAATTTAGCACTTTAGGAATATCTTTAAGAGTATTTTCAGTAAAGAAAAATAATAAGGGCAGGCATGCTCCAATGAATGGGAGTATTAACGAAACAAGATTGATCATCCCTAAGTGGATAACTGTGGGCTCTACTTTTGTATACTTTCAAAAATTTTCATAATAGTACGGTTTTGTTTAAGTTCCAGTTAAGAGAAAAAAGCATCTATGTGGATGTATAATTTTTAAATGACAGCTCTTAAAACAAAAGAAAGAGTTCTATTTCTTCTGTCTTATGTAGGTCAAAGTGCTAATTAATTATGTGTCCCTGATTAAATAAAATCTGTTTCTGCAGCCAGGATCTAAGTTGAGTCATTGAATCAGTTGCTAACTCGCTCCATACTGAACTAAAGGGAAGAATTCATCTGCATTTCAAGCTTCATTTAGACTTAGTCAAGTCTGGTCATTTATTCACTTACTAAACACTTAAGAACTTTAGTTACCTTCTGTTTGTGTTTGGCATTAGGCCAATTTCAGGTTAGGGAAATATGACAATATACAAATGCCTAGGGAAGAATCTTAATAAGTTAATTCTATAATTAAAAAAATAAAGCCATGGCCCTAGCCGGTTTGGCTCAGTGGTTAGAGCATCGGCCTGTGGACCAAGGGTCCCGGGTTCAATTCCAGCCAAGGGCACTACCTCAGTCGCAGGCTCGATCCGAGCCCTGGTGGGGCGTGTGCGGGAGGCAACCAATCGATGTGTCTCTTTCACATTGATGTCTCTCTCTCTCTCTCTCCCCCTCTCTCCCTCTCTTCCACTCTCTCTCCCTTTCACTCTCTCTGAAAAGCAATAGAAAAAACATCCCTGGGTAAGGCTTAAAAATAAATAAATAAATAAATAAATAATAAAAATAATAAAGCCATGGCCAGTGTGGCTCAGTTGCTGGAGCGTCATCCTACACACTGAAAGGTCGTGGGTTCGAAACATGGTCAGGACACATGCCTAGATATCAGGTTTGATCCCTGTGGGGGTGGGTACGAGGCAACCGAATGATGTTTCTCTCTCTCCCTAATCAATAAAAATAAAAACAAAAGACAATAAAGAAGACAGATGTCTGGAGAATTCTGATTCTCTACAATATGCCAAGGATTATCAAACAGGGCATTAAGAAGGTTGCCTGTGAGAAATGTGACTATTAGAAAATGTGTTTGGACCTCTTGCCCCTCCATGCATCTCATCCCACATCCACACCTCCATCTCAGTACAAGGTCTTTAAGGACAGAGAGAAAGTTTGCAGGACCTAGCACAGTGCTCACAGGAAAGGCGAAATAAATATTTACTGAACTGAGACAGAAGACACAGCTTTAAAAATGATGAAGAAAAAAAAAAAAGCTTTTTTATTCACTGATATGCTAGAAAGGATTATATAGAATCCAATGAGAAAATACTCTACGACATAAAAGACAGTTTTCACCAATCACTACATCACACATTCAAATGTCCTCTATCATACTGACCTTGAGTGTGACAGCTTAAAGAAAATTTGAGTATTTGATCAGTCTCTGGTCTACTCTTTTGAAAATAGGGGTCTCCAAAAAGCAATTCTAAGTGTTTCAACCTACCCTTAAAACACGCTGCATTACTTGTGCAGCATTATTATTAAAGACTTCTTTCTCTACATCAGTTATCAGTAGCCTACAGGCTTCGTTTCACTTGATTTAAAGGGCTTTGTAGGGAAAAAAAGGAAGGGAAACGGGTCATAGGAAAACATGGTTATCATTATTGAGAATGACTCTGGAAATGAACTCCTATGTTCTACTTTTTTCTTCTTCTTCTGTGTCAGATTGTCAGCTGATATTCTCTTATGATCTGAGAGTGATTAGCAACATTCTGTTCCCTACTCTTAGCACAGGGTCTGGAACATAGTAAGTCCTGAATAAACATTTCCTGAATGAACGAGTTGGAGATGACAGACTTGAATAGGAAAGGCAAGTTAGCAGCTCATGTGAGATGCGATGAGTTCTTCAAGTAAGACAGTGAGTCTTAAAAACAAAACCAAAGCAAAGTCAACAGAGCTATCAACCACTGAACATAGGAAAACTATGTAGGTGATGGGTCAGATGTGCTTTATAAAACCGAACCTTAATTTTGAAATCCCAAAATAAAATGAGAGATAATTAGAGGCAACTACTTCTATTATTCAGTTGATCTGATAAGGAAAATGAACATTTAAGTTTCAAAAAAAAAAAAAATCAAATATAACCTTAATTTAAATGTACTCATGGTTTCTTTTGATAATAGGTTACAGTCAGGCAATGAAAACCATACAGCAATTGAACCTCAGTCTAGAGATTTTCTGCCCTCAATCAATATATCTGTGTACTACTGCCATCTACAGTAATTCTGAAGGGAGAAAAAAATCTATATAAAGTGTTGTATTAAAGGATTGCATTATTTGACAAAATTTTAGTTTTCAATATATGAAACATGCAGTTTTAACCATATTAAAATAATTATGAGAGTATCTTATATCCAGGGGTGGGCAAAAGTAGGTTTACTGTGCCACCGTGACTCCCTTTTGAGTTAATAAAACTATTGTAATAATCATAACCTGCAAGTCTTTTTCCGTACAAAAAAACTGTAAACTTACTTTTGCCGACCCCTGTATACATAAGCAGATACTTTAAGAAAAGGGCAAGTGTCCCAAACTAAACAGTTACTGCTGGTTTCTATAAACACAGAACACCACTTTTTTCTCGGGGCCTTTTGAAGTTTCTACCACTGAGACTGGCTTCCAAAGATACATGAAATTTAAATATGCTGTAAGAAGAAATGAGGTTTTATTCAAGAACTTCTAACTAAACAAGTATTTTTTTAAAATCATGAATGAGAAATTGAAGGCAAAGGGACAATGTTCCAGAGGCGAGCAGGAGGAAAGGAAAGAAATGGCTCTAACTGGGGTTCCACATCAATTAGGAAATCAAAACGAAGACTCTGATTCCGGCCCAAGGCTTAAGAATTGCAAACAGCACCGAAGAATCTGGGAAACAAATAAAGGCTTGGGCTGTCCTGGTTATAGGAGAGCCCCAGATCTCCTCTCCCTCTGACCTTTTTTTTTTTGCTGAGGTTTACAGTAATTGGGTAAATAGTATACCTGATTACTGACCATTGTCAGAACTGAAGTATATAAAGACTTCCATGTACATTAGTACAAATTAACAATGGAAAGAGAAATTACATGTTTCCAAAAGAGAAACTTGAACTTGAGCCATAGCAGCATCACTAAAATACCAATAGAAAATAGTATCTCAAAAACAAAGCAGTACTATAAGGGCCAAACTCATAAGAGTTTGTTTAATGTTGGTGTTTATATAATCACATTTCAAAATACAGACTTTAAAGGCAGGCACCTTATCTCGCTTTACCTACTGTAGTGGCTGGTGAGGAGCAAATGCTTAGCAAATGTTGGAAAATACACCCTGAACTACCTTGAAACGGGAACACTTACCTGAGCTTAAATCTCCACGATGCTTGGAGCTAGGTTACATGCTTCACATAGTTATAGTAAATTGTGTAAGCGCTTTGGCTTGGATTCTGTAGATAATTTACAGTCCTCAAGCAATCAGAGGAAATGTCATGTCAAGAATGTCTTAAAAATTTTAAAGACTTTCTGGAGCCATTAAGTATGTTAAAATATATTTTTGTCTAAGTAAATTTTTGTTTAACATAGTCCACAGTACTGTATATTCTGGGCAAATTTTATCTTTATTGCTCTATTGCCAGTAAGCACTGACAATGAAGAATTACTGTTCAAATGTTATGTACTTTTGCTAATGGTGGGTGAAGCCATTTAAATTAGGTGTAGACTTTAGAACAGTTGCATGCAACTTTGTTTATAAATACAGTGGAACCTCAGTTCTTGAACTTAATTTGTTCCAGAAGGCTGTTCGAGAAGCTATTTGTTTGAAAACCAAGTCATTTTTTCCCATTAGAAATGATGTAAATTGAATTAATCTGTTTTAGACCCACAAATGATTCCGTTTTACTTTTTTAAATTAAAAATTAAAAATATATCTTTATTGATTTCAGAGAGAGGAAGGGAGAGGGAGAGAGAGAGAGAAACATCAATGGTAAGAGTCATGGATCAGCTGCCTCCTGCACGCCCCCTGCTGGGGATCGAGCTCAGATCAGGAAATGATTCCCTATTTTAACTTTTCTTATATACAGTATATGTTGAATGTACTGTTTAATCTAGAAATAAACACTACTTTTCTTAAATTTATCAAACCATCCTCTACTAGGTCCAAGGGTGTCTTACAGAGGTCTGCATGCAGCATCTTCACTTTTTCACATATCAGTGCCTCGGAAATGCTGTCACTGGCTGACTGCTTTTTGTTTATCCAAATCAACAACAGTTTTTCTACCTCTTCAATTGCCTGTGATCACTGTTTCTTTCACACCCTTAGCAACATTAGCAGTCTTGATGGCCTCTGTTTTAAAATTGTGTTAATCATCACCAGCAACAGAAGCATTCTCTCTTTTCTTTGTTGTCTGAGATGTTTTTGTCATGCTGAGGTATTTGTCAGGTCAAAAAATGAAGTTTGGTTTGACAACCGAGACATTCCAGCATCCTCCCACACCCCAACAACTTGGTTGAGAACCGAATTGTTGAGATGGGAGACATTCGGGAACCGAGGTTTGACTCTAAGGCTTTCTAAAAGTGCTATACACCTCAAGTTCTAGTATCATTATTGAAATGCCTTTAAAGAAACAGTTAAGTATTTTCCATTTTTCATCATTATTTCTACTGTTAAAGATTAAAATTGTCATGTTGCTTTCCCCAAAATGTCCTTTAATCAAAGATTTCAAATTAATAGCTCCAGATATAGATTAACTAATGGGTCATGTTCGATTTATATGAGACTACATAGTTTAGGGTGGTAATGATTATTTTATAAGGGAAAAAAAGGAAAAGAACATAACAAATTTCAAAGCAATTTAACCAAAAAATGAGAAACAAGAAAAGTCTCACATAGGGGGCAAACACCCTATTATACATCCAGAATCCAGACTCAAATGCTTGAAAATTAAACATTGACGAGCACAGTGCCTTTCTTTTTCTCAACATTTAATCAGTTACATTCAGATAAAAACAAAACTTCTCATAAAAGTGACTGAGATAAGAAATTAACTGGAATATGTGACCAACCATCTTTAGTAAAGTTTCAAATTCTAAGATTTGATGGTTTTCTTACCATTTGGGGTCCAACATTCACATTTATTGGTCCTAAGGTTTTTGGTAAAATCTTTGTTGGTGAGTTGGTGCTGGGAACTGGAAAGGCAACCAATGAAATGTTACCTGAAATGATATCAAAACACTGGGTTAATTTCTGCAATATCAAGGCCACCTTCTAACCCCCTAGTCCCAGTTTCGTTTAAGTAATTTATAATTATCTTATATGTAAATTATACACAAAAGGGCTTACTGAAAAGCCATACCAATGATTGCTTTGTTGTCGTGAATACAATTAGGAAATCTGTAAAATAAGTAATTGCCAGTCTATCTGACAATTAACTACCGAATGTTTAGTTAGTTTTTTAGAGGAAAATATATTTAGAGAATACACAATGCAAAGCATAGTTTACATCAGAGTTGAGAAATCCAATTAGATCTTTATTAGACATCCTAGAATAAAAATGTATAAAGTAAAATATATATATAAAGTATACCATGAAGTAAAATATCTATTAAAATTTCTTTATAGTAGGACAAATACAAAATATTTATACTAAAAGTTAACATGTTTTCAAAATATCGAGTTGGTAGTTTGTTTTTTATTTTTAGAAATATGTCTTTTATTGATTTCAGAGAGAGGAAGGGAGAGGGAGAGGGAGAGACAGAAACATGAGTGGTGAGTCATTGATCGGCTGCCTCCTGCACGCCCCCTGCTGGGGATCGAGCCCGCAACTCCGGCACATGCCCTGACCGGGAATTGAACCCAGATCTCCTGGATCACAGGTCGATGCTCAACTGCTGAGCCAAGCCGGCTGGGCTTGAGTTGGTAGTTTTTTGAGGTTTTATTAAATAGAGAAAAAAATATGATGCTACCTAGGTTAATGATGTTGGAAATTGTGGGATTTTCAAGTGATTTCAACACTTTAAATTTTAAATTACCCAAAGCCCCCTCCCCCAAAAGCCAACCAATAATCTTCTGAACCACCATATCAACTACTTAACTGCTCCAAACTTCAGTTTATCAATGTTTCTCTTAGAAGGTAACAGTGTAATATGATGTAACAAAGGAGATTACCCAGAAAGCATGTGAGAGACAACTTTGAAACTGGGGAAAAACCAACATTTAAGAGCAGGACTACAAAGACACCTCCTTCTCAGTCTCCTTCTTCAGAGGGCCCCTTCCTCAGCTTTCAAAGCTTGCCCTTACTCCTTAATCCCCCCCTTCTCTTACCTCCTAATTCTTAGCAGATGCTCCTACCTGCTGCACTAAGGATATCAGACCATCAGGCTAAATTACAGCCTTTCTTCCTCAACCTGAGAACCTATCTGCACCCTCACATACTTTTACTTATTTCTCTCTGAGTGGAAATTCTCATATAAATTACTTCTTTCATGTCTGCTCTACACGTCCTGTCTCCCCAAGGATCTCGGCCATCAATTATGTGCTCTGTCCCCTGAGTTTTCAACTATACCACTGGCTCCTCCCCTTCAGCTTCTCTCTCTGCCCATTTGTTGTGTATCATTTCCCCTCAATATCCACATTTTAAAATCGCATTCTTTATCTTTCTCATGCTCACTCAACAAAGCCTAATACCCAAATCTGCTTCTCTCCCAGTTCTCAGTCTTGGTATACAACTGAACATCGATCAGCGTCCGCCCAGTGACCCGATCCAGAAATAACCAACCCCCTCCTCAGTCTACTGACCACCACATCCTACTTGGTATTTCTTTAGGCGGTGGGCACTTCTTTAATTGGGGACTTCATCAAATCAGGTTTGAATGCAGTTACCATGGTTCACAACCATGGCCTTGCAGTAGAATTATCTAGGAAGCAATAAAAAATACCAGTTCCTGGGTCCTACCCACCAGGGCTGCTGATATAATTGATACAGAGTCAACTTGGGCACCAGACAGTGAAAAGTTCTCCAGATGGTTCCAGTGCACAGCCAGGGCTGAGCACCACTGCTCTAACCGTATTGCCTACTTCAAAGAGCTTTCCTAGCCCCTCCACACATCTTTAACAAACCAGTCTTTCGGATGGCAAAACTGTTCTGGACACTCCCTTAAACTTCAGGCCTTCAAAGACCCCCCAACACTTCCTGAATGCCTCTCAGACCCCTCAACACGGCACAAAGCTCCTGTTGGATCTCACCCCTGCCTCCCTTCCCAACTTCATCTTAGCTACCCCCCCCCACAGGCACCCCCCCCTCCAATCATGAAATACTGTGCAGTTCCAGAAGGGCCCCAGTTCAACTCCCCTGGCTTTGGTGTATGCCTTTCCTTCTGCTGGGAAGTCTCTCTCTGCTGGAACAACTCCTACCTCCTAACACTTCAAGACTGGAATTCATACCATTTCCTGAGTTATTACTATGTACCAGAGTCCACTCTAGAGGCTTCCCATATATACATCATCTCATTAATGCTTAGGACAACAGTGTGAAACATATTATAACTGACTTAATTTTACACATGAAGATATTGAGACAGAGTGAGACATTCGTACAAGGTCTCAGAGCTGGTGAGGACCATGGCTCCACCTCTCCAGCCTGTGCTCTATGCGGTGCCTCCTCCTTAAAAGCTGTCCCCAGCCTCTGGGGTCCGGGGCCTGCATGTCCTTCTTCTGGCTTTTCATAAAGCCTATTCCCATTTACCTGTGGTTCTACTATAAGTGGGCTATGTCTCCCAGCTCTGTGTTCCAGCACCTGGTTTAGTTCCTGATACAAAATAAGTTCATGAAACTATAAAAACTGATTAGCATAGATTGGAGCTATGACCTCTCCTAATCTGGATGCCGAACTTCCTATAATGTAGCCTACGCTGTATCTTTTCTTACTTTTTAACAGGCATCATAATTTACACTAAGTTTGAAGTAAATTTAAATACCTTTTAAAACATGACTGAACAACCAATATTATGAAATAAAGTTTCCTTACTCTGTAACTGTGCAACTAATTTTTAAAAATAACATCTTATTAATAACTAAATACTAAGCTTATTATCAAGACTCCCTAAATATGGTCATTCACTAGTTTAAGAATCCACCAAACTGGAGAAAAATAACTTATGACTCTAGGGGAGGAACAGCTGTGTAACTGATAGACACATGCCATAAACTCAGTCCCAGGCAGAAGACACCACGAGTCCATGGAAAAGTCTGGCTCTCAGATGGGTTTTTAAAATGATCTAATGCTGCTGAATATTTAAGATGAGATCATCTCTGAATACACTGTGTTAGAAGCAAAAGTCAAAAATTTGCAAAAAATCATAAAGCAAACAAAAAAAGATAATTAAGGTGAGGAAACAAGTTGACCCTAATTTTAAACCGAACACTAATACACACACACATATATAAAACACTGATCAAAAACAGAAAGAGAAATAGCATGTCAGTTAAAACCAAAAGAATTTAGAGGGAACTTAATAAATTTGCCAAACTGATTCAAAAGTGGAAGAGTAAAGGCAGAGAACAGCCAAGAAAATCTTGAAAAAAAGGAGTAATGGGCAGGAAGGGCATTTTAGCTTCTACCAGATTTCAAGATTATTACATCGCTAGGGACTGAAATACTGTGACAATGGCTAAGAAGCAGGTAAATAAATGGACAAAACAGAAATTAAAGTCCAGAAAGTACTTCATTTATATATGAAAATTCTGCATGTGGTAAAGGTAGCATTTCAAACCACCGGGGAGAGGACGGAGTATGTTACACGTGCTGTTGAGACAAGACATTGTGCATCTGAATAAATAAAACCTTAGATTTCAGTTTCTCATCTTGCACAACAATAAAAATCCAGAAAGATAAAATATTTAAGTATGAAAATTAAAACCGTGAAAGTATTAGGAGAAATAAAACTTAAAAAAAAAATAATTTGGGGATGAGAAAGGCCCTTCCAACTATGTTACAGAATTTAGAAATCTTACATAAAAACAGACCGGCAGCTTTGACTACCTAAAAATAAGCATTTTCTAAGTAACAAAACACCCAATATACTTAAAAGACAAATCTCAGAGTTGGTGAACAAATCTGCAACACATAGGTCATTAGATTACTATCCTTAAGAATTTTTATTTACTTAACTCCCCACTTGTAAATCAGTAACAATAAGACAATACCTCAATATAAAAATAAGCAGAGTACATAAAGAAATATGTCAGTGATCATATGAAAAAATGCTTGATTTTAATAATAAAAAAATTAAAACTTAAAAAAAAAATTTTTTTTCATCTACCAGATTAATAAAGATTAAGAAGCTAGACAATGCCCTGAGTTAGTAAAGATGTGGTAAAATGGGTACATTTAAGAAATATTTACTTGGCACCTACTATGTATATGTGAAATACTAATGCTAGGCACTGAGGATCTCAGTGAAGCCGATGGCGTCCCCTGCACTCCAGGGGCTGACACACTCTGTTGGGGAGGGAGTCCTGGGGAGCCTTTCTGGAGGGCAGGCAGCCTGACAGTGTAATTAGAGGAGTAATGGAACTATGTATTACAGTACAGAATTTTAAGTGCTTTAAAAACAAGTATACACATTTCAAAGCCTCTTTCCACCTCAAATGTCCTTTCAACTGCCCTCCATTGCCTAAGTATCAAGCTGATCCCTGGCCTCTGCAAAGTCACAATTAATAATAGGCACACCCTCTGCAAGCTGTATATCCTAGTAAACTAAACAGGTAAGAGCAATTTATTCATATCCTAAGATTGCAGCAATGTGGATAAAAGCAAAACCTGGAAACAATTTAAATGTTTAAATACCTTTTGGTACATGTATATAATGGAATATTATACGGCCCTCCCCACCAAATACAAGTATGTACTGGCATGAAAAAGTTCACATTAGAAGAGAATTAGTGTGATTCTATTTATCTTAAAAACTACATATACACATAAGTTTATACATGTGCAAAAAGTCTGGCAAGATAACAAATTTAGTAGAGGTTAGCTCTGGTGAGTGCGCTGGAGGAATGTTTTACTTTAATACTTTTTATTATTAAAAAAACATTTTATGAACATACACGCACTTGTTTTATCATTTAAAAAGCTATTGGCATTCTGAAAGAAAAGAGAAAGCGAGGCAGAATCAACTAGAGCTGCTGAAACAAGATAAAGGTCTATAAATGAGGT